TGTTCCCACATGCTGGTTGAAAAGGCTCGTTCCCCATTGCATTGCCTGTGGACAATCAGTGTCTACAGAAATTTGGACTCTTTTATTCCAGGACCATGCCATTTTAATTACTGTAATTTTCTAATAATTTTTTATGTCAGGGAGAGTTAGCCATGTAACTTTGTGTTTTATTTTTTTTCTTCCATATATGTTTTGGATATTGTAGGTCTATTCATTTTCGTATTTATTTTAGAATGTGATTCTAATTTCCACCAAATTTTGCTAAAATTCTGATTGTGATCACATTGAATCTACGGGTTAATTTGAGGAGACTTGAAATTTTAATGATGTTAAGTTTTTATTACACGAGCAGATATATCTCTCCATGTATTTAAATCATCTTTAATTTTTCTCAGCAATATTTTATAGTTTTTCACTGTACAGGGTTTTCACATATTTTGCTAGGTTTATCTCTAAGTATCTCATATTTTTAAAGCTATTGTAAATGGTATTGTTTTCATTTATCAATTTCTAATTATTTCTTGGTGCATAGAAAAATTAATTTTTGTCTATAGATCTGTAATCCCAGACCTCAGCAGACCTTCTCTGTAAAAGGCCAGATAGTAAATAGTTTAGGCTTTGCAGGCCATCTGTGTCTGTCAGAACTACTCAACTCTACCATCGCAGTATGGAAGCAACTTAGACAACACATGAATGAATGAATGTCTGTATTGCAAAACATTTTATTTAAAACAGGTGCTAAGGTGGTTATGGCCATAAGTAGTTTGCTGATGTATCCTGCAGCCTTGCTAAACTCACTGATTCTAGTAGCTTTAAAAAAATGGTAATTTATCAAAATGAAATTAATATAACAAAATTAACCATTTAAAAACAAGTAATTTAGTGGGATCTAGGTTATTCAGTGTTATGCAACCACCATCTCTGTCTAGTTCAAAACATTTCCATAATTTCAAAGTCAAACCCTTACCCATGAAGTAATTTTTCTCCATTATCCCTTTCCCTTAGCAACCACCAGTTTATTTCCTGTATCTATAGATTTATCTATTCTAGGGATTTGCTAGGGATTTGTGACCTTTTGTGTCTGGCTTCTTTCACTTACCATAATGTGTTAGAGTTTCATCCATATATTGTGGTGTGAATTAGTACTTCGTTTTTATGGCTGAATAATATTTCATTTTATATATATATGGCAATGAACTTATCCACACATTCATTGATGGGCATATGGTCTGTTGCTATTTCCATCTTTTTGGCCAATGTGGATAGTGCTGCTGTTATTTGCTTGAGTACTGTTTTCAGTTCTTTTGGTTGAGTACTGTTTTCAATTCTTTTGGTTCAGTTATTTGCTTGAGTACTGTTTTCAATTCCACCTAGAAGTGGAATTGCTGGGTCACATAGTAATTTGGTGTCTTAATGTTTTGAAGTCTAGTCGTTTTTTGTTTTTTTTTTCAGTTTTCCTCTACTGTGAATGACATTGATTAACTTTGAAATGTGAATTCCTGTATTCCTGGGGTAACAACCCCTCAGGCCTAGTATATCATCCTTTTTATATATCATTAGATTCTATTTACCAAATTTTTGTTTAGAATTTTTGCATACATGTTCATGAGGGATATTAATTTGTAGTTTACTTATAATTGTCTAATTTTGATATTGGGGTAATGCTGGCCTCAAGGAATGGATTGAGGAATATTTCCTTCTCTTCAGTTTCGTTTTTTCCCCGGAAAGAATTTCTGTTGAATTAGTATTATTTTTTCCCCCTCAATATTTGCTATAATTCACCAGTGAAACCATCTGGGCCTAGAGTTTTCTTTGGGAAGATTTTGAACTACAAATTCAGTTTAACTAATATAATAGATATTGGGTTAAGTGACCTATTTTTTTTTTAATTTTTTTTTTAGTTCTAACTCAGATACCATAAAATTTATCCATTTTAAATATACAATGCAAAGGCTTTTCTTATACTCGAGTTGTGCAACTGTCAACTATTTAATTTTAGAACATTCCCATTACTCCCAAAGAAACCAAGTACCCAGTTAGTGCTCACTCTTCAATATTCCCTCCGACGGCCCCTTGAAACCACAAATCCTACTTTTTCTATAGATTTGCCTTGTTTACCTATTCTGGACACCTAATACAGGATTGGGCAAAAGATTTATAGCTGAGTATGCAAAAGTGATTAGTCTTGAATTATTTATTAATTATTGTATTATTTTCCATATGAGCAACTGTAACCTGTTTGCCCTACCCAGTATAAATTGACTTATAAAGTATGTGACTGGCTTTTGTGACTGGCTTCTTTCATTTAGCATATTTGCAAATTTTGTAGCATTCTTTTGTATTGCCAAGTACTATTGTGTGGATTTACCACATTTTATTCACCCATTTATTAGTTGATGAACATTTAGTTGATGTTTCCATGTTTTAAGTATTATGAGCATGATACAAGCTATGAATATTTGTATATGTTTTTTTGTGTGGACATGTTTTCAATTCTTTTGAGTATATACAAAAAAGATATAATTTTAACATTGAGCTCAGCTCATCCTCCTCTCATTAATGCTAAGGAGAGGGGAAACTTCATATGGGGAAAAAGATGAACAGGCTGGTTCCTTTTCTTTGTTGTTAATTCTTATTAACCAGGAAAAATTCTGTATAAAAGACTAGTTCAACTAAATCTATAACTGTCCTCCTCTTTTGATCTCCACTGCTTTGGTGCTGCTCATCTGTGCTTTGAGATCCTAGATGGAAATGTAAGATGCTTTCTAAAAGAATGTGCAGTGCCTCTGGGTGACCCTTGCCAAGGCCTGACAGCTGGGAATATGAGAAGAGAGAATGAAAATGTAGGCCAGTAACATAACAGCCTGCCCCAGTCCTATGCATGACCTTATTCATCAGGGTATGTGAAGTTGGAAATTTGTATACAGTCCCTGTATTCATCTCTCTTTTCCTTATTCACGTTGACTTTTTCTATACATTTCTGGGAAGAGCATTGAAAAAATGTCACTTTCCTCTTAAATGTCCCTGAAACATGTCTGCAGCTCTTGCTGTATGATAGGAACTGAGCTAAGCAGCTTCCGTGTAGCTTATCTCATTTAATTCTCACATTCCTTTAAGATGTTGCTATTGGTCCCATTTTCCAGATGTGGAAACAGGTCTAATGTGGTTGTAGAACTTTCCCAAGATTGCAGGCTTAGTGACAGAAGCAAGATTTGAACTCAGATTTGTCTCATTATAAAGTTGTACTATTAAGGGCTTCACAGCTAATAACACAGTATGTGTGCCACACATTCTTGTGTATTTAAAATGGGCAGTCATGTGCTAGCAGTTTGTTTACTTGTCATGTTGGCGATCTCTTTGTACCTGGCTGTTATCTCAGGGTGAGTACATGTATCTCATTAACTATCAGGGAAATCTGTTACTGTGAAATGAGTAAGTAACCGAGCTGCTAACCTTCAGCCCACCCTTCCACATCCACACAATGAAGTCGTCTTCTCAGGGGCCTTCCTAAACACAGCTGCACCTGTCTGTATGCATTTAACATACTTTGTGTCAGCTCCTGATACGGGTGAAGGGCAATTAAATCCTCTGAACCCTGATGTTTTAAAAATAGATATTTAAAATAAATGTAGCTCATATAATTCATATACCATAAAATATAGTCACTTTAAGTGTACAGTTTAACAGTTTTTATTAACTGTACTGAATTGCACAGCCATTATTATAATCCAGCTTTAGAACATTCCATCTCCCCAGGAAGTTCCCTCAGGTCTATTTTCACTTAAACCCTAATGTCACCCCCAACCACAGGCAACCACTGACTTGCTTTCTCTATAGATTTGCCTTTTCTGGACATCTAATTTATAAGTGGAATAAAATAATATAGTCTTTAGTGTCTGACTTCTTTATGTAGCATGTTTTTGAGGTTCACCCTTATTATAGTATACATCATCTCTCTCTTTTTTTATTGTTTTCTCTTGTATGAACATGCCACAATTTATTTCTGTATTTATCAGTGGATGGACATTGGGTTATTTCCACTCCCTGGCTGTTGTGAACATTTAGGTGTTTGTTTGCTGTTGTGTGTACATATTTCATAGATACACTAGAGTAGAATTGATGAGCGTCTTTGATTCGTGTGGGCAGGAACCTTTGAAGTTTCAGTGTTGCCTTAGTGTTCTTCAGATTGGCTTATCTGGCATGCCTGCCACAGTGTGGGCAGAGAAACTGGTCAGGAAATGACATAGTCTTGTGTTCCATTAACCCTTGCTTGGTTTTTATGTAGCATCTTCCCTCCTCCCCTCCACACACTTAAAGTTTTATTATCTCAGATCCATGAAATCATAGCAAAATTCCTAATGGCTTTGGATAGCCTCTATTCTTTCCAGCAGAGCCCCGGGTATACTCGGACAGCACTTCATAAAGTGCAACATTGACACCCATAGAATGTAAATGACTTACATTGTATACACATATTCTGTTGACTAGTTCTGGTGAAGTATAGATGAGTAGATTGTATATTTTCTCTTTGGGACAATGGGGAAAGTGAGGGAAGGTTTTTGGGTGAACTCTTTTGTTTGGAGATTAATATGTCTGTACCCAAATAAAGTAAAAAAGTATGGTTTCATTTTAGAAAACAGAAGCCTGATACAAGAGGGGCTGGGTATTTTCACCAAAGAAATTGCTATAAAGTTATTAATGCTGTTAAAAGCTACTTATTACCAAGTAGGAAAGATTAGTTGAAGGTCTAAAAAGTATTCAGCTAGTGTAAATGCCTCTGTATTTTCAACCTCTTTTCTATACCCAAAGTCTGGCTCTTATTTATTCTGTCAAACCAAGAATAAATTCTGACTTTTATCAGTTTTTATTTATAAACATCTTTCTTCCTTCCTTTGAGTGTAGCCTATATGCTCTGCTTCACTTGAAGAAATGTGTGTTGACTTTCCTGGGGATAGTGGTGAGACCGGTTCCTTATTGTGTATTTGATAAAACTAGAATACTGTTATTTCTGGGCAGCTACTATATTTCACCACCCATATCTCCAGAGGATAGGACACAGGGTTTTAAGAGGAGGAAATATCATTGTTTAAATAATAAATCAAAACTAATGTGTACCGAGTTTCCCCGAAAATAAGACATCCTCCGAAAATAAGACTTAGCGCAACTTTGGAAGAAAAAATTAATATAAGACACTGTCTTATTTTCCGGGAAAAAGGGTAGCAAAAGGGATTAGATTAAATCAGATCAAAAGACCTGACACACAATGCTTTACATGAGTTCGTTGAACCTGGTTTGGAGACTCATATTAATAATTTCTTGGTGGTGCTTAAGAGCATGGACTTGAGAGCCAGATGGCATGTTAAAAGAAAAAGTCTTAATTTACCACTTCTAAGTTAGGCAAGTTACTCAGTTCTTTAGGCCACAGTTTCTTCAGAGAAATGCATTGATGCTACTAATAATACAGTTGTGCTTTAGAGAATGCTAAGCTGAAATGAGGTAATATGTTAAAACTTGTTATCTGGTACAAAGTGCTCAGTAAATGTAAAACAATGAAATTTAAAAACAGAAAACACCAGTTCCCTGGGAAGCTTGTAGATCAGAGACATATAGTAAATGGCCTCATTAGACTTTCTATTCAGACTTCAATTAGGTGGGAGTTAGCAGCTAGAAACCAGTGTTTAAACACTGAACCTGTTTCCTTTTGAAAAATCTTTTTATAAAATGGAGTTAGTGTCTTTAGCACTTGTTTCCATTTCATTCATCCACTGGCTGGGGAGTAACTGGCATAATGTTTGAAGGTGTCCTACAGATGTAAAAGTAACCCTTGAAGTGAACGGTGAAGTAACAATGTGTATACCTACTGGGCCCTATCTGGTACTTCTGCAGTGTACCCAAGACATTGGGAAGGAAGTTTGTACACACACGTGTCCAACCACATACTGTATGATGGAGGATAGAGATGGGATTTTTCTTACTCATATTCCATCTTCAATATTTATCAGATATGTAGACGTATGTCAAATTTGGTTTTTCAGCCATAATGCTTTTTTCCTTTGTGAAGAAGCGAGTATTTATAGGAAAAGTTTGTTAGATTACCCAATTCATGGATATGACCACAAGATAGTATGTTTTTTTGGGAAATGAATAGATTGTATAGAATAGTTGTGCAACATTGCTACGACATTCACTAAATTATGCTTTTTTTGCGATAATTCATTTTAAAATAAGGTAAGAATTTTGGCTAGATAACATTTGTTTACACAAATACCATTTTTGTGACAGACTGCTGAATTTGGAGAAGCCTTCCCTCAGCCCCCTTCTAGTAATTGGCACGTGGCCATGAGGCATGGATGGGACAGTCGGGCCTGTGGCAGCAGGGTTAAGCTCTTCTTGAATGTATGCCAAACTAACAGGCAGTTCACTGTTACAAGGTCCACTTTCGCATATGAAGGTATCTGAAGTGATAACTACTTTCAGTAGAAAAAGGAGGACAAAAGGAGAAAAACTGGAACTGCATGAGTTCTACAGAAGCATGTTGGAGTCACATAATGAAAAAGCAGATTTTTTTATTATGATGTTTCTCCATATTTGGTATTGCTGTAAATGGCTAACTAACATTTACTGCCAATTCAGTACAAATGTGTGGTATGGTAATACCAGAACAGCAAATTTAAATGAAAAATAAAAGTTAAACATTTCCACACAAGATTTTACAGTCTGACATTTCACTGCGTAAAGACTTTTTTTTTTTTTTTTTTTTTTTTTTTTTTACTGAGATTATTCAGCATGAATAAAAAACTACAACTTTTATTTTTAAACAGGAGTCACGGTTTTTAATTTTTACACATTTTAAAATTACTGTGATAAAAAATAATGAAAAAGCTTCTTAATTATGCCATACACAGTATAATATAGATCTGTCCCCATTATATAGCATTTGTTTAATATACAAAATAGAATATTGACACACTTAAATCTATTTGTAGTTAAGCAAGTTACTTGAGGAGGGTCTTTTCATATAGCCTTTCATCAGAAAATAAACTCCTTTCAGTCATTTCCTAGTGAGGAGCTGGCCCTTTCCCAAAAGTCCTGGTCACTAATCCTGCTGGACCAGGCTGATTGGTAATAGTCAGGAAAACGATGAAACTTCCACTCCAAGTGGTTCAAGAGTCCTCCTCACACTAATTTATTTTCCCTTTCAACTCTCAACCCAGGCACATAAACACACACTCGTCTAGAGCTACTGTCTGAACGACCGACCGACCGAGTTCGAAGGCCGCTGAGGGCTGCCATGGATCTAGACTTCTGACAGATCAAAGTGCAATAACACTGTTTGTTCCATGGAGATGCAGCTTAGGGTATTTAACATTGAACTAAAATGATAAGACTCAATGATAACAGGATGTCTAGATAAGTAAAACTGGAACTGCTCCCCCCGCCCCCCAATTCTGAAGTGAGGTTGGCTTTTGGCTTTCCTTTATCTCCATGTCCAGAATCAATCCTGCGCTGATTACCAAGCTCTCCATAGACCTGACCCTGTTAGTTTTCCTTTGGGGATGACATTTCCTGTTTCAGGAGAAGGTAGGGACTCTTTTAGGTTCCCCTCCTATATTCTTAGACAATTGGGTAAATATACCCCAAAAGCACTTGCATCCCATAGCAAGGTCTAAAAACACCAAGAGGGTAGTTTTTCTCCCCCAGTAATTAAAAATACTTTTCAGGGGTTGTTGGGAGTCACCTAGGCCTGTCACCAACTCTCACTGACATTACAAACTTAAGTAACTTCGGATGGCAAGATACCACATACACCGAAAAATGAAGCTACTTTCAAATAGCACCTCTTTCCCCCCCCCCCACTTAAATCCATAATTACACTCAGAGGAACAACATAATTAAGATAACTTCCTTTCCACATATTCAAAAAGGGCACAGCTTATTTTTCCATCTAATGTACAGCCTCCTATAGGTTTATTAATGTCAGTTGATTTTTTTTAACAACAAAGTGAGCATGTCATTTTTTTTTCACTGACCTCTATTTTTTAAGAGCTGAGGATGCTGGGACTAAAATATAATTAATGTCTGATGTGCTTTCTTATTTTAACCATATAACATTCTATAAGTGAACTTTCAGAAATTCTGTTTGATTCTTAACACTGTCATTGATAATAATAATAAAGCGATATTTCTTAGGCACCCGAAATTTCACATCCAGCTGGGTTACAAACAACCTTAAAATACTTTGAACCAAATTAAACCATTATAAAAAGAAAATTCCCTTTTAGAGAGCATTCAAAAAGCAAATTATTTTTTTTATTAAATAATTTCTCCAAAATACTGAAAAAATAACAAAAACATTCAAAAAGCATTCAAAGAAAACATAAACACCCTCATTTTGTTTGGAAATGAACTCTCGTAGGATAGAAAGGAATTAGTGTATTACTGGCAACCAATGAGATTCTGCATTATTTACATATTGCTGGTACCTCTGTGCATATTATTGCCAAACTTCTCAAACCTCTGTTTTTATTACACTATTGGTGAGGCTGTCTGTGAAAGTAACCCTGCTCTTGGTGCCTATCCATGTGTGAGCTCAACCTTGCTGGCTCCTGCTCACCCGCTTTAGCGCAAGGGTCAGTGTAGTCAGCCAGACTCACCGCTGGAATGAGAGGCTGGTCCTGCTGGGAGGCAGGGTGACTCCCTCTGATCTGTGATCTGTGATCTGAGCATGAGGGAGGGAGCCTCAGGCCAGTCTCCATCTCCCTCCTCCCTGGGAGCAAACCCGTTTGGTGTTTGGGACCACTGCTGCCTGTCCTGTATGAATGTCTGCACACACTATAAATCATATAGGTTATCATCCACCGACATTTCTCTGACCCCTACAAAAAATATATAACGTGATAAAACAATCTCATCTAAAAATCATTCTTATTTTACACTATACAAGCTATTTTACAATCATTTTAATAAATTGCATGTAAAGCTGCAGTAGCCCTTCCCTTCCCAGATTAGTGAATACCAATATGATATATATCTGAAACTATAACTAAATATAAAAATATATTAGACGTTTCATATTGTTAATGTTAGATTTTCAGTTTTCTATTACACAAATAATTTGGCCACCTTGAATAGAAATCGAATTTCTTGTGGCTTAATAAGTAGGAGTTTTGAGTTAACAGAAAGGTGGTAAGGTGCACACAGAAAGGGCTACTACAGCTTCTATTCTGTTTAAAATGATTAATTCTCAACAGTGAGGAAAAAAATCCACAAGACTTGTTAAACTCCATGGCACACAGGATGGGCGGGTATGGTTTACACACAGGGGAGCCTGACTCGCAGCCTAAGTCACAGGGAGCAGCGACCGAGCTTGCCTGTGCCGCCAGGAGAGGAGACCAGTGTGACAGGCGGGAATGTGAAAATGGGTGTCTAGCCACTTCTGCCACATCAGAGATTTCGTTTTTTTGGGTAAAGTGAGAGGAATTGCTTGGTCTGATTAAAATACTTCAGTTTTGTTTCAGCTAGTTATCTGCAATCTTAACTTTTAAGAAGTTATACAAACTACAACAAAAGGTCCTGAAAGATGGGAAACTCTCATTCTTGCCATTTAGCCATTGCAAGGATAGGGCGTTAGGTGTAGACAGGGCCTCTTGGTAGTTTTTTGTGTTTGTTTTTTTAAATTAGTCTTTTGCAACCATCATCTAAGGTTTACCCTGCAGGTTTGGACCAGGTAGGTGCTCGATACCAGTTAGGGTGGTTAATTTGCACAACCTCTATAATTCTCCACTCAAGTGTGTGTGTGTGTGTGTGTGTGTGTATGTATGTATATATATATATATACATACATACACACACACACACACACACACACAAAATGTGAGCTTTTTTTTTTTTTTTTTTACAAGAATACTGGAGATTTGAGTTGATTTGTGTGATCTTCTGATAGCTAAGTGCCATCAGGTTAGAAGCACCAACCCATTTTCACACAAGATATTAATGTTTAGAGTTTATTTAGGAAAGCTATGAACTAGTTGCCCATCATCTTAAACAGCTGTACAATAACTCGAATACAAAAATTATGTAAGAAAAAATGAGCAAGCGTAGTTCACTGAATATAAAGGAAATGGTTAAAACCAGACAGCAATAGCTATAAAAGGCACAGCTTCCCTTTTCTGATATACACTTGTAAACTTTTTTTTTTCAGGTTTCCATGCATAAATCAAAAAATTTTATCCTAACTATACAGGGCAAATACACCAACAAAAAGTCTAGAAGATTTTATCCAGCCAACTGTGATAAGTATGAGCAGGAAGTTCATTAAGCAGGCTTTGGGCACTGGTGGCTAGAGTGCCATCCTTCTCCAACAAGGAGATGACCCCACCTCATTGTTTCTCATTTCCGGGATCCACCAAGTATCACTTCCTACTGTTCCCATCACTGAAAAGCAAGGGCTCAACTGCTTCTGTCGCCAAGTCTTGGCCCTCTATAAACCACATGTAGTGCGTGTTTAAAACAAGACAAAAACATCAGACATAAACAAACAAACAAAAAAAATAAAACAACATAACCGCTATAGGATAAATGATAGTTTGTACAATAAAAGCTATAAAGTCAACTTTCTTTAAGGCAACCTTTCTGATTAAGGCAGTCACTTTTGATGAAACAGAAGTTTTTTGATATTTCCACTTGAATATTTTGGTAACTGATTGGTGATGATTTCAGCTAACATCTCTGGGAATTCAATACTCATGGTCTTATCCAAAAATGTTTGGAAGCAAAAGTGAAGGAGATTTTCAACTACCTACAAGAGAAGATATGGTAATGATTAGCCTTAAAATCCGATCAGTGGGACCATCTCATGCTTGTTGGCCTCTCTCTCTCTCTCTCTTTTTAAATATCTGACTTAGAATATACCCAGTCCTGCTGGAATTCCCCAAGTAAAAACAAAAAGTTTAAATAAATGAGCACTCAGGTACAAAAGACCTCTTAAATTCCTTAAACTGGATGTAGAATTATATGTAATTGAGTGTTTCCTGATGAACTGCAGTACTATAACACAGGAAAGACATATTCTAATTTAATGACTTAATCAAACAAAGCCAGGGAATTCTGTATTTAAAAAAAAACAGTGCTGTTGAACTCTGTACTGGCATCAGGACGCTACAGGCACATGACCAGGTGAAATGAAATTCCATAATTGGCCTCAGGAAAACTGTGGGCCAAACTGAACTCAAACCATTATCAGTATCCACAAATGGGAAATAAATCGGTATATAATTACATAGACTAGACTAAATAGAACACAACTTCATATCCCAGAAAGTTTTTAACACTTGGCTTTGTGATTGACACTTACCTCATGCATGGAGTCCAAGAGTTTTGTCAGTTGGTAGAACCGCTGCCAATTCTGACTGGAGTTCCCTTCCCTCTTGACAATGGCTTTCCCCAGCTCTTTGATGTAGGTCATTCTAATCTCATCAAACAGCTCTTGGCTCTTCAAACCTTCCTTAGGAACTAAAAGATTAAGATGTAGTCAATTCAATAAACTTCTTGTGATAACTTCATACAAGCAAGTAGGGCATTTATTATCAATAGCATATTCCATGACTTAACATTGTCTATATGCTTTTAATGCACTTGATTAAAACATTAGCATTTCAAAGGATCGTGAAACCACCGCCAAGAGAATAGGGGCCAATGGGAGACTGGAGGCCTTAACTTTAGGTAAATTGTGCAGTTAACTTCCTCTCCAGTTCACAAAGCTGTCATAAAGACCAAATAAATAATACACTGCCTGCCATTCTGCCCTTCAGTTTGGTTAGACATAATGAAAACGTCACCAACAGTGTTTTATTCCACCAGTTAACATCCTGGAATATATGTGACATTACCAGTCTTAGACCCTTAAAATCATGCAATGCATTTTGTTAATTAATGCATCAACGCTGAGTTGATATGATTCCAATCTAAAGAGAAATCTTATTTTTTATATAATACACACACACACACACACACACACAGAGAGAGAGAGAGCGGCCAGATTATTATGACCTCTGAACACATCATCTGGCTACTTGCTGTATTTGTGTCTCAAATGGATACCAAAAGTATTCTAGACTTTTGTTGATCAACCACCTGTTTGCCCTGAGCATTATATCAGCCAATGCAAAGGGAAAACTGATCAGTTGCATGGTTTATAATATCCCTTAAAAAAAAAAATATATATATATATATATATATATATATATATATATATATATATATATATTATTGATTTTTTATAGAGAGGAAGGGAGAGGGACAGAGAGTTAGAAACATCGATGAGAGAGAATCTTCGATCAGCTGCCTCTTGCACACCCCCTACTGGGGATGTGCCCCAACCAAGGTACATGCCCTTGACCGGAATTGAACCTGGGACCTTTCAGTCCACATGCTGATGCTCTATCCACTGAGCCAAACGGGTTTCGGTCCTATTTTATATTTATATTTAAAAGAATTTCATCCATCCCAAATTAACCTTGTAGTTTCAAGAATTTTTGCTTTTGTGTTTTTAGAGGTCATATATTTACAAATATTTTCCTAGTGAATGGAATGCTTTTTATGTAATGAGTATCTTTAAATATAGAACTTTGTTTTCTTGCCGTAAAGTCTATTTTGATACTAATGCAGCTGCTTCACTTTTCTTTTGGTTAAAGCAGTGGTCAGCAAACTGGCTCCAAGCCCAATCCCCACCTGCAGCCTGTGTTTGTAAATAATGTTTTGTTGGCAGTCAGCCTGGTCTGTGTTCCTGCCACAGGGGGCAGAATTGAGTAGCTATACCAGAGACTATGCAAAGCTGAAACCATTTACCATCTGGTCCTTTACAAAAAAGTTTGCCATTACTGGGTTATACCATGCATAGTATATCCTCTTACTTAAGCTGTTAAATATCTTTATCTAGATATACCTCTTATGAAATTACTGACACATTTGAATGTATTTATGCCATCTGTTACTTCCTCTTATGCTTTTCCCTGCTCCTCTCATTTCTTTCATTCTTTTGGACTTTTTCTTACCGTGTTATTCTTTCTCCCCTAATGCTTTGGTACTTTATATTCACTTTGTATTTCTAGTTGTCGTACTTAAAATGTAAACACCCAGTCTTAATTTACCAAATTCTTATTTTTCTTATATGTAATTAATGTGTACTTTAATTCTATTTTCAACCCCCCCCCAAAGACATTACTGTTATTTTATTCATTAAAGTTTAGTTTAAATCTATTTACATATTTACCACTTTTTCTTTTTTTACCACTTATTTTAACATTCTTAAAAATGTCTTTACTTCTCTTTTGCCTAAGTACATTTTGTAATATTATATACTAAGTTTAGTGGCAAACTTTGTTTGAGCCTCCATTAACAAAAAAATAAGTTAAAAATAGACTACTGGTATGTTTAGACCATTCACATTGAAAAACAATGGTCTGATATGGCTGGGCACTGTCTGCCATGTTTGTAACTATTATCTGCTCTTGGCACTTGTTCATTTCCTTTTTAGTCTTCTATTTTTTTGCTGTTTCTAGTTTTCATTGAACATTTCATATGACATGATTTCTCTCAGTATATCAATCATTACTTCTTCTCAAAGTTATTTTTTTCATAGAGGGGATAAATGGTGATGAAAAATAAAATTATTGTTAGTGGTTGCCCTAGAGTTTGCATTGACAACTACAGTTGATCCTTAAACAATGTGGGAGTTAGGGGTACGGATCCCCTTGCAGTTGAAAATCCAGGTATAATTTCTGACTCTACAGGTGGCTCTTCCTATCTGTGGATTCAACCAACTTCAGTTGGGAATGTGAAAATACTGTTTTCGACCTGCATTTGGTGGAATCCAAGGATGTAAAGCCCATAGATACAAAAGGCAGACTCTACTTATTGGAAAAAAAAAAAAAAAAGCTATGAATAAATGGAGCAGAGCAGTTCAAGCCCATGTTGTTATAGTACAACTGCAGTCTACATTAAAACAGAGTATTCCTAACTTCTCCCTCCCATCCCTATTAACATTGCTGTCACTCATTCAACTTATCCGTATGTTGTGCTCAAACAATTTACATTATTAATTCTTTAAATAGTTGTTAGATTAATTATGAAGAAAAATAAGTTTTATCTTCATGTATTCCTAACACTCTTCCTTTCTATGTGTAGATGATGTTTCTGACCTATATTATTTTCCTTTCCTCTAAAGAACTTCCCTTAACATTTTATGAAAGGCAGATCTATTACCCTGTTTCCCTGAAAATAAGACAGTGTCTTATATTAATTTTTTCTCCCAAAGTTGCGCTAGGTCTTATTTTCAGGGGATGTCTTATCTTTCCATGCGCTAGGTCTTATTTTCGGGGAAACACGGTAGTAACTGATTCTCTCAAGTTTTGTTTGTCTGAGGTCTTTATTTTGCTCTCACTTTTAAAGGAAATTTTCACTGAATACAGAATTAGAAATTGGTGATTCCCCCCCCCCCTTCAATACTAAATATGTGATTCCACTCTTGCTACATGGTTTCTACTGATGAAAATTCAGCAGAACATATTTCTTGTTCCACCATAGGTAAGCTTTTTTCTTTTACCCAATCTGGCTACTTTCAAGATTTCCTCCATATTTTTTGTTTTCTGCTGTTTGAATACAATAGGCCTAGATATAGATTTTTTGGTATTTATCTTTCTTGGCACTTTCTGAGCTTCCTTGATTGATGTTTTGGTTCCTGTCATGAATTCTGGAAAACTATTAGCCATTATTACTTAAAATATTTTTTTCTGTTCCTTTCCTTCTTTTACTTGATATTCCCATTACTGGTATAGTACACCTTTTATTGTAACTTTCCACAATGTTTTTAAATATTCTATTTTTTTTTCATTCTTTTTTTCTCTTGGCTCTTGAATTTTGTAAATTTTGACTGAGTGTCTTCAAGCTCAATGATTCTTCTCTTGGTATATCTAATCCTCTGATGAGCCCATCCACAGAATTCTTCATTTCCATATTTTAGTATTTTAATTTCTAGCATTTCCTTTTCTTTCTTAAAATTTCCACCTTACTGCTTACAATATTCATGTGTTTGTACATGTTGTTTACTTTTTCCATTAGTCTTTAACATATTAATCATAGGTATTTTCAAATTCCCTATTTGATAACTACAACATCTGTGCTATATCTTATTCTAATGTTTGTTTCTTGTTACCTTGCACTTTTTGCAAAAAGCTGGAAATTATGTGAGGTTTTATGTTAATCTGGCTAAGGGACTAGGCTGTATTAAATGTTTGGTGTGGGTGTTAGGAGGTTCTGGTTCCTTATTTTTATTCCCCCTTCTTCTGTCCCCTATTTTCTTTTTTAAAATATCTGTATTCTGCAGCTCTCTCCATTGTAATTCAGTTCTTCCCACTGGAACCCTGATCATATGGTGGTAAGGTGGTATGTTTACTACTTTTATGATTAAATCTTTTTAGTAGTCTTGGCCCCTGGGCTGTGTCCTTCAGAATGTTTCTGGACCTTTTCCCCCTTCTCTTACATGATACAGAAAGAGGAGGGGGTTGGAATTATCCACTTCCCCAGGTCAGATAAAGCTTTGTTACAGCAGTTTCCCTTAGCACGCAGAAACATGAGGGGACCTTTCTCAGATCTTCACCATGGGAACCTGGGGAGGCGTTAGGAGGTAAGTCCCAAGAAAGTATGGGGAGACAAGCCCCCTGCCAATACTGGGTCCCAAGAGTTCTTAACTCTCAGGCTATTCCTCATTGGGTCTAGAGAATTTATCAAAATTACCGAAATGTTTCTACCAGTTACTGGCTCCAGTAGCTTCTCTTCCAGTAAGCTCATTCTGGCTGTGCTTCTCTACATTTGCCTTCTCTACAGATTTTGAGGTGGTGGCTTGCCTTGTAATCTCAATTCTCTGATGGATCTAAGAAAAGTCACTGATTTTCAGTTTGAGCTTTTCCTTATTGTGAGGATAACTTCGAAGCTGTTTACTTGTGAGAGCTAAAACTGAAGTCCACCTTCACTTAGCATTTTAGAGACATTGTTCCATTTTCTTCAATTGCTATTGTTCAGTTAAATACCTTATCCTTTGAAGATATTTTTTCTCTCCTGTTCAGTGATTTTCTTGTTAACTGTGCTGTTCAGAAAACAGGATTTTATTAATGTACTATGTGGAATTCATTGCACTGCCTGGTTATAGAATTTAGTGTCTTTTTTAAATTCTGGAAACTTTTTAGCCATTATCTCTTTTTGTATAATTCCTTTTCTCTTTCACCTTTCATTTTAGATTTCTGATGATTGTTAAACCAGAACTTTTTTCAGCTGGTGTACTGTGAATGGGGTTATCAATGTGCTAAGATAATGATTTGCTATGCTGTACAGATGCTGTTTTTATGTTCATTATGAGATGAAAATTTCGAGTTACAAGGCATTGTTTTAGAGCTTTTCCCTTAATCACTGTTTGCTCAATACCCAGTTTACGTTTTAAGTGTACTGCCATTGGTAATCTGAAAGGAGTCTCCAGCAATGATCTTTATCTTTAGGTTTTTTTAAGGGGTTGTGGAAATTTTTCTAGCCTTGATTATTATTAATACTCCTTAAATCTAAGAAGATAAAACAACTTTTTGTAGAACAAAGAATTACAACAGCTTAGTCATGTGCAACATCCATAGCTTCAAGTTATGTGACAACTTTGAAACCACGGTTACTAAAGAATACAGAATTTTAGATTACAAGTTTACTTATTTGTATATGAAAAAGTTATTCATTCATCAACTCAGTATTTTATAAACATTAACTTGATATATAATTTTTACTGGAATGGTCTAAAGTTTACAATAACAAGTGGTTCACACACTTATTGAAAATGCCAAAAATGACACAATTTTACTATAATAATGTAGATAAGATACTTTGTATTTTTCAAAAGCTATCTAGTTTTAACTTGCTAGGTGAAATTAGCCTCACTAAAGTTTATATATAGTAACTTTATCTAAATTTTCAAGGTGGTTTTATAAACTCTCATTGCCATTTTCTAGATAGAATACCTCTGCCCAACAGTCCAGCTCGGATGCTGCATTAACCAGTCCTCTAATAGTAATCACGCACACCTTGTGTAGGATGAATCCTTTTCCCATAGCGTCTTCTACATGGTAGTATTCGTTGTATAAGTAAAATTTTTGACCAAGTTACAATGTAGTAGAAAAACCAAAATCATTCCACTTGGCTTTCTTTTTCCATGCCTCCTACAGAGGTATCCGAAGGTCACAGGAAAGAGGAAGTCTACACATTACACTGTAATGATTACAGACCAACAGAGACCCCTGTGCAACTCATACACCTCTATTTCTCCATGACATCTGTGTCTTATTAATTTTGGTGTATGTTAGTGGCTGTGCCTTTCTAAAAGTTAACATTTATGAAAACATATCTGACTAGCAGGAAATAGTAGACATATTTGAAATAAGTATTAGTGCTATGTATACAAAAAAACCTTTATTTCTATATTTCATGATTCATATAGAAGTGAAGTGTTTTACAAACCTGATGAGAGAAGCAGTAATGTTTTCATACAGAGATATTCTTCATAAGATACCTGAAGCCTTTGTAACTCAGAGGAAACATATAGCATATGTTTACATTGTTCATACATGCAGGGTAGATTCATCCTGTTCCTGTGAAAGACAAATGTCAGTGTTTGAATTAGAATTAAATAGTGCTTGTTCCATGAAGGGAAACCTAACTATTACGAGTAAGGAAACTTCTGATCTGTAGGGAATTAGCATTAAACTTGTTCCTGGGTCTAACTCTAAAGCATATAAAGAGACTACTGAACAATGTAACTTTACATTGAATAAGTTATTTTTCCATCATGCACTCCATACATTATTTTATTTAAGTGTTTAGAACTTAATACTCCTACAGGATTTATTACCACTTGCTCATTTAAATCAAGGTATTATGGTAGCATCTGAATATCGCCAATTAGACAACACAGCTTTAGATCCTACCCATTTAAAAATCAAAAGGCATTTTTTCTCATAGAATTCCATTCTAAAGACAACTATGAGGATACTGTATATAGTTAAGCGGAGGGTCGGAATTCGAATCTAGGTTTTCTTAGACTCCATATCTGCCTCTGACAGACATTGTGACTGAATGTTCTCCTAAGGAAAGGTACCAAATTAATACTCAAAAACCATGATCACATCTATGATTTTCAAATAGATCCCTAAAGTTTCCTAATTTCTTAAGTGAAACCAAGAGCCTGAATCTGTGCCCAGTTCACAGATTTAAAAATACTTCAAGATCTGTGTATTTCTTTCAAAGTTTTGATAGAAAGTGATCTTGGACTTAACAGATAAAGCTATTTAATATGTTAAATAGTACATGAATGGTATACTGCCAAAGTGATGACAGGAGCTCTATGACTCTTCAAATATAAAATCTACTTCTAGTAAGAGGCACCTTCCTAATGCTCCAGTAGGAATTAAGCATTCCTTTTCTGTGAGGTATCTTTTTCTCTTTTAGCTTCTAATACGTTGTAATTGACAGTTACAGTGTAGAATAAAAAAAAATAATTCTAGTTGGCTGTTTAAAAAAAGTATTTCTACAACTCTCTGACCTAAAGACAATGATGAGAAACTTTTATAAATTATACAGATGGCCCAAACTTGAATGTATACTTTCTGACCCCCAAGTCTGCCTATTCCAGACACCAGGAAGGGGGGAAACACTGAGCTAAAAGGGGAGGAGGCCTTCTCACCTCATAACAAAAAGAGAATATTAAGTCAGAATGGCCTCTTCAGAGCTATTGTTCGTACAAGCCATTTACCCCTTCCACAGAGCTGGACACTGAGAAAACATTTGTGTAAGGAGCGTAAGTGGCACAGCGTAAGTGGCACAATCAGGTTATGCAGTGGTTTGAATTGTCCTCTTTTTGGCAACAGTGAAGGTGACACAGGCCCCTGAGAGTGTGTGTGTGTATGGAGATTTGGCCTGGCCAAGCACATGGTAGTGCCTGTCAGTGGAGGACAGGGATATGGCCCTTCCTTGGAATACGGAGTGAGCACTTTTGTTTCACATGCCTCTTGCTTTTCACTGTGAGGCTTGGTCCTTTTCCTTCAAGTCTTAATTCAAATGGCACCTCCCAAAGCCATGAGCCACCCTATCTGAAATAGACATCTCTTTAATAAAAACTCTATTATAATCTGAAATTTCATTTGGTGGTTGTCTGTGTCTCCCCAACTACAGTGCATGCAGTTAAGGTGAGGAGCCTTGTTGGTCGTGTTCTCTGCTCTAACACCAGGCAACACATGAGCCTCTCCATCATGTTATTTACCCGTTTTTGAAACATTCCACAGGCTTCTTGCTTCAAGAATAAAATCTAAACTCTATTTAATGGCCTACAAAATTCTCCACATAGTCCCCATCCACTTCCCTAAACTCACACAAAATCCTCAGTGACTTTCTCTCAATTCCTCACATATACCAAAGTTGTTTCCATCCTTTGTAATCATTTCTTCTACCTGGAATGCCCTCCCTTTCAAAAAGTTTGTTCTGTTTCCTGCTCAGCTATTTAGCGAGGTCCTCCATACTAACGTAACATGTACTCCCCCTCCTCCCCTCCGCCACATATTACACCACGGCTCTCCAAAGTAAGTTGGGTCATGTGGTTTCCCCCATCAGGGGCATCATCTGTTGTATTTGCTGTGTGTAACCAGAGTCAGGCACTTGGTCAGTACTCATGTAACATAGAGTGAATACTGTGCTAGAAAGTGTCACCATTAGAGAAACAGCACCACATTTAATTCGATAGCTCAACCAGGTTTTTTAGACTAACTCTGTATGCAGCTGGCCTACCAAAGGGAAAACTTGAACTCTCTGGTAGTTCCTATTTACCATGCCAGTTACATGGTCTTGCAATGACCTCATGTGTCCTGAATCTAGAACCACCCTACTACATGCAGCTTCTTGTATAAAGCCCAATAATTTCTTTTACAGTATCTGGAGCTGATATCAACCAGTCTCCGCTAAAACATTTGAAGTAATGTGAGCTTAATACATCATAAGCCATTTAACACTCAGCTCAAAGATGCTTTTCTATAACTTCTACCCATTATTTTTGTGCCTGGCACACCCAAGAGATAAAAACAATGTGTTTGCATTATCTTCACAGAATATCTCTTCAGGCTATCTTCATTGCTTTCAAGTCTTATTTTCATCAATTTCCAAACTCCTTGCCACTCTGGACATGTTTAAAGTTGTCACTGTTATTTTTAATATGGCATCCAGTTCTGAACATAGACTCCTGACAATGCTTGATTCACAAGCAATGGCACTATTATTCTAATGATGTGGTTTAATAATTCAATTTTTTTTTGAACCCTTGTCAATACTAAATACCCAGAATTCACAAAGAAATATCCAGTTGTGTTTTTTTTGTTTGTTTTTGTTTTTTTTTTCCATATAACCCCCAATTCATTTACTCCACTCAGACCATAGGTGTGTGTTTGAATAAAGGAGATAAGCTGATGTGTTCGTAAAAGGTATTCATCTTGAATGGGAATGATGAGTATGTGAAAGAGAAAGAGGCCAGGTCTGGAAAGACAGAAACCACAGTGAGTGTACTGGGTGGCAGGTGAGGAGACATTGACAGCATCTGTGCGTTGCGGATATATGAGATGGGAGCACACTGTGCTTAAAAAAGAGCAAATTAGTCAACGTGATGGTTGACAGATGGTAGGTAGGAAACACCTCACAGAGAGTAGCATAGGCATAGGAGGCCAGAGGATAGCTGATTTATAAAATCTTAAAGCTTGGCTGGTTCTCTCCCAATTAAAAAAACAACAAAAAAAACTTTTGTTCCCTTGTTTTTTTTAAACTTGGTAAGATTTGCCATGAGAGGAGCTAACTATTCTCTCTGGATCTGTGCTTCCACCCCTCAGCTGGGATGCCTCACCTGCCCCTGCAGAAGGCGGGAGCAACATGAACTGTAATGTGCTTTTTCTTACTGGAATAGGATTATGTAATTAACCCATTGTACGCCATAAATGTCTATAGACGCAAGTGGCAGACCTTCCCCATACACCATGCACATCTATTAAAAAAAAAAAAAAAAAAGTTTTCCCTAAGTGGCAACCCTGACCAACTTTAAAATCATTTTTCATGAGAATTTTCAGCTGAAAATATTCAACATCCAAATTGTAACATATTTATTTTTATAATATTCATTGAAAATTGATTTTTTAGTTAAATTCAAAATATTATGGCATGTGGGGATGGTTTCCTTCTTGGATGTGGCAGTTAGCTGGTTAAACAATGCACTGCAAGATTCCTTTTTATTTGCTATAGACTTTACAAGCCAGAGATGCTAACTGTTTAAATAATATCCTGGGGACAGTAACAATGCCACCTGTACATTCGCTCTGTTATACCTGCCTTGCCTTAGCATTGATAAACAACTCTTCAGGTTTTCCCAGTTCCATGATACCTGGTAGCACTGATTCATTCCCGAAGGATCACCACATAACAGCCCATCAGGAAAACATCAGCTGGTGATAAAATCCTATGAACACAGGGAAAATGACTCACAAGTGACTTACTCGTTAATAACCAAATCAGGAGCAAAACACAGCATGTTTGCATTTGATTGTCTGTATGATCTCCAGCCCAGGGCAAATGCCATGAGGAACATCCATGAATATTGCAGTAGGGTCATTTGGTCATCCAGGTGTAAGTTCCTGAATCCTAAGTTAAGAGAAATAAAGGTGTAAGGAAAAGCTGTAGTTGCCAAAGAGATCATCTCTATGGAAACTGCCAAAGACCAGATATGAACTAGCCTTGTTCGGGGACCTCTAACAGACAGGGACATATAGTACCCAGCTGCTCAATCTCCCTTAGGCAACACGTGAAGATCAAAGCCCTCAGTGCTCTGTAATAGCATTCAATGTCCAAAGCCTTCAGAGCAGCCAGTTTTTGTCACCTTTTGCCTACTTAAGTAAATATAAAATTAACTAGAGGCCCAGTGCATGAAAGTTGTGCACTCGGGGGTGAGAGGAGTGTCCCTCAGCCCAGCCAGTGATGTCCCTCTAGCAACCCAACTGATGGCTTAGGCCCGATCCCAGAAGCCCTGATCCAGGCTTGTGGCTGGCAAGCGCAGCGGCGGTGGTGGGAGCCTCTTCCACCTCCGCAGCAGCACTAAGAATGTCCAACTAATGGTTTAAGCCTGCTCCTGCATTGAGTGTCTGCTCCCTGGTGGTTGTGCACGTCATAGTGACCGGTTGTTCTACTGTTCAATCTATTTGCATATTACCCTTTTATTATATAGGATAGTGAAAGAGAAAGCCTAGGGTCCTGGCTGGGGATCTTATTCACTCAATGAATTTAAATGAAAAACTCTCCCGATTTCTCTACCTCTTTCCTCTGACAGTCTAGGGATGAGAAAAGGTCAGTCTCTTTAGTCTTCTCTGTCTCTGATTGTGTGAACAGAGCTTATCAATTCCCCTCTAGCTGTGAGGTCAGGAAGCTTAAGATATTCTACTTTAGTCTATTTTGACAGTGTCACCATGTCTGGTTTTTACCAATTTTACAAATAACCATATTTTTAAAAGTGATACGATGAAGGAAAACAAAGTGAAATCTAAGAAATAGTTTAAATTTTTTTCTCCTACTTAAGTGTAAAAGGAATTTTGAGTAAGTCTTGTTAATTCTGTATGTTACATCATCCTATCTGAAAAGCAGGGAGCAGTTTGTAAAACTTAACTATAGACTCTCCTATAACTAGAATGAGGAACAAGACAATACCATGGACCATGAAGATTAAGGATCCAGAATGTTTTTGTTTAAGAAACAGACTCGCAGAGAACAAATCGGTAGTTGCCATAGGAAAGGAGGGGAATGGGTGAATAAGAGGTACAAACTTCCAGTTACAAAATAAGTCATGGGGATGTAATATACAGCACAGGGAAGAGTCAATAATATCTTAATAACTTGGTAACTAGAATAACTTGGTAACTAGACATATCATAGTGATTACATCAAGTATAAAAGTGTAGAATCACTATATGTTGTACACCAGAAACTCATACAATCTATAATAATAAAAGCATAATATGCTAATTAGACCCGATGTCCTTCAGGATGAAGCCAGGACTGCGAGGGAAGCCTGTGCAGGCAGCTGGGGAAAGAAAGGCCTATTCATGCACAATTTTCATGCATCAGCAGTCTCTAGTATTGTATAATAGCAACTATAATTTTTAAAAAAAGGAAAATACAAAACATGTATCTTAGCCGTGTCCCCGTTTGCACCTTACCTGGTATTGCCTTTGCCCATTTCACTGCTGCGATCACCTGTCGCCCACCTAACATGTTGAGTGTGGTCATGATCCGCCAAGTGGAGTCTGGGGTGGAGCAATCATATCCTGCATACAGCACCTCTGGCTCAATGACCTCCAGCAGTGACACCAGGGTAGGGGTGAGTTGTGGTAATGATGCAGGAACTATTGTCGTGGTAGCAGAATTTTCAGAAGTTTCCTGTGAGACCCCTGTAGTGGCCTGCTGAATTCCTTTTATCTTTTTCTTTGTTTTTCGAGCTATGGGTATTAAAAAAACACACAGAGAAATAAGTTGTGATAGGAGGTGGCAAAGTTTATTGAAGAGGTATTTTAATTTCTCAAACTATTTAGATATGAGAGAGTAGAAAGTGTTTTTGTTTTTGTTTTTTAGCAATTATGATAGTGACAGAATCCATTTGTATATTAATTTCTGCTACAAATAAGCTACTTCTTTATTATAGTTATATTTTATACAAAATTAAATGTCTTATAATACTATATTAAAGCAGTCTAAATAAATCACCTTCATATAGATACTTTCGTAAGTTAGTTTCTGCCTCATTTCCACGTTAAGGTCAAATTTTTCATTTTTTTTGGCAAGTTTCTTTTATTATCAATTGAAAGAATCTAAGCTTGTAATACCAAACTAGAAACTCTGGCTTAAGGTTGCTCTAAATTATAATATGCATAATGAAGAGAGCTTTACTGTTTACAGCCATGCACAAACTCCCCTTATCAATAGAAGGAGACATGGCAGATCACACACTGAAGACAATAGAAGTTCTTAAAGCAGAAAAATCCACTTTTTAATTTTTTTCAAAAAACCTGTAGTAATGAATACTATTTAGGACTAAAAAGATGAGGAAGATGAAGAGAAACTTTACATTTCTTCACATAAATTACTAATAGGTAATTTTCCTTTTATAAGAAATTTCTATTGATGACTATAAACCCAAAGCATCTATTTTCATATTATATGTAAAGTTACTAAAGCTCTCTTTTAATTTTGACTTAGTTTGGAACAATGTAATCAAATTACAGCATGGACTCTGTAGACTTCTGAGTAAATGAATACTTACTCTTTGTTGTTTAGTTACAAATCAGATTTACATTATTATTTTTTAGCATGTGTTCTGCTGAAGTGAGCACGGAATTATAGTATTCTTGAAGAGAGAGCATGCAGAGCACCAGGGAAGGGTAAGGACAGACAGTTATATGAATAGGGAAATGTACCTGTCTCAGTTATCAGAGATGCAAACGCATTTTGCTAAGGGAAAAGTGCAATTCACCTTTAAAAATAAAAGACAGTTTGTTGAAGATAGATTTGTGATGGGAACTATTATCCCAATGTCTGGTGTTAGGGAAAATGTCCCATCATTTCCACTGAGTAGAATAGTCCCACTTCTTACTTGCTCTGTGCTGAAGTGTGGTACTGAGAAATTTAAGAATTTTTAGTCAACATTTTAAAACAGGATCATGCCAACTTTCTTTTGCTACACTATACTGAAGACACAGTATGGTATAGCAGTAAAGAGCACAAATCTGAAACCACCATGGCTGAATTTCAGGTATTGGTGCAAATTACTTTCTGGGCCCTGGTTTCCTCTTCTATACAAAGAGGAACATATTAGCACCTACCTTGTAGGGTGGTTGAGAATTAAGTCTGGTAACATGTGTAAAATGCTTAGAACAGTTCCTGGCACACATTACATACTAGTATAAGAACTGTCAGTACCTCATCTGGCCTTAGAATATTTTTAATTCAGACAGAGCAAGTCTACAGAGAAGTGATGAAGTTTTAAAAAGGACATAAGTACCTCTAAACAACGAACAGTATCTCGAAGCCCAGATCTAAAAAACCATGGCATGTACTTCGTTGACAAAGTGAAAGAACATGCATGGCCCAAATCAACCTACTGAAATCAGACTGTACAACCCTCCATTTTTACTAATTCTAAATTGCCGAAGCTGTGTGTTCCTACACTCTACATTAGAACAAAGAGGAAAGGATATGACAAGCTGGAAATTTAAATTTTAAAAACCTTCTGTGACTCAGCACATAATTAGTTTAATTTCTTACTATTCACCTACAGTCCTGAGAGGACTGGTGTCTCTGAATAAAGCTCAAAGAGCACATCCAATGGTGGGGTACTGACCAGAGCAAGAAAGGGCACTAGGATGTTTCCACAGAACTGAGGAGTTTTTAATTTAAGAAATTACTATTTTAAAGCAATTTAATAAGATTTTTTCTGTATATGAAGTTTCTGACTCCTTGTAGCATATGGTAGATTAATGTTCAATATGTGATCTCTACAGAAACTCTGGAGTCCCACTTCTTTGTTAATAAAAGTAGAGACATCTTAGTTTAAAAGTTAGCTTTTAAAATATTAGGTATGAAATCTAATAATTTCATAAGCCTCCTTGCCTTTAAATTCTACTTGATTCTCGACACTAAAAATAAAGATGTATTTTAGAATGATAATAATATATCTTAAAATGAAGTATAAAACATTTGGGATCACAATTAAAAGCCTTTATCTGTTTTCAAATGCTAGGCACTTCAGGCAAGGAAGAAGGCTGCCTTAAAATAATACCTTGAGTATTCTTTGGTACTGCAGAAGTACTAAGTTACTTTTATGGAGAGAATGAGCCAGTGGCTTCTGCGAAGCTACTCTAGGGTTATTATTGAAACTGCCTGACTTAGGGGAAACACTCCAGTGAACAAAATAATATAAATATTATATTGTTCTTAAGTATTATGGTCTGTTAGACACTTCTGGCACTTACTCCAAATAAAGGTTTTATATACACTGGAATAACTGAACACAAAAAAGCTTTTTTAATAAAATCACACATATGCAAAAACTCTATGAACTTAGATGTTTAAAAGCCTTTTGGTTCTTCTACAAATTATCAACTGCACGATATGTGCTAATATATTATTAAATGACAAACTGGAACTATGTAGTCACATCTCTAACTCTTTGTATTTAAAAACACATACATAGTATGTGCTAGAAAGCTCTAACAGTCTCCTATCAAAAGAACCACATGGCTTCCATTCTCCCTCTACTGTACTGTCACCATGTCTTGTTTAATTGATCACTCTTTACAAGATTTGTTTTTCTAAAATACAAATTTGATAATGTCCTCTGCCATTATTTTCCTACTCAGTTTTTTTAGACTTAAAATTTAATGTTGCTTCTTCTAGGACAGAATCAGGTGTCACTATTCCATTTGCGACCCTGTTTTGTGATTTGACTCTGGAACCTAACTAGACAGGTAATTCCTAGAATACAGGCACTGATTCATTGTCTTGTGCCTACCTTCTTGGTGAGCACTGCTGAATGAAATGCTGCTATCACAACAATAGTAAGCACATGGGCTATTAGATCACCATCACAGAACTTGCAATTTCAGTCAAAGCAGAATTCCTAACTATCCAGAGGAACATTTTTAAACGATGACATCAATGTTAATTATATAACTTGTTACATAAACAGGAATCTGAAAATCAAACTTATACCTAGTTTCAGGTTTCTTCTTTACTTGCAAAACAACAAACAAACCCCATCCAAGGCCACTTTAAGGAGTTTTGTCCCCCCCTTCAGATCTACAAAAGTAATGCTTCAAGTTTTGTAATTACCATTATTATATAATTTCCTTTTTTAGTACATAGTTTGGCTATACTGACTTCAGTAATAAGAGCTGGTGAATAAACTTAAGCAATAATGAAATATTCATTAAAAAATTTCTGCTTTTAATTGAATAATATAAAATTGTGCCAATCAAGCACATATATACCACAATAACTAAATTAAATTATTACAATCTTTTACTTACATTTTAAAAAGCAAAATAAATTTTCATAAGATACAGAGACAGTTGCATTCAGGTCTGACCTTACCTTCCAGGTTCATTCCAGCTTGAAGACATTTCCGATAGCGGCATGCAGGGCAGTTTTTTCTTCGAATTTTATCAATGATACAATCATTTCTTCCTGCACAAAGATAATTGTGCTGTCCTATATGGAAAATAAAAGCACTTAAAATTTCACAGGCCTCAAAGGAGATGTTTTCTGGAGTGACTTTGTTTCCATTTTGGGCAGAGCAGAGGCACTGACTGAAGAAGGGACAGTGGACCAGGCTCCATTGCTGCTGCAAAGGTCAACTAAAATGTCTGTTTGTATGCTGCCATAAAGTGTTTAATACACTATTCTGGAACAGATAGGAAAGTGAGCATTTCATAAACGGAACATCTCCATGTGATCAGCTCTCAGATCAAGAAGCAGAACAATACACCACAAGTGCCCACCAAGGGCAATCTCTTTCGTGATAAATTGTGCTTTAAACAGTTTCTGTAGTCACTATTTTATTATGATTTCTTACCTAATGCTGAGGAGGATTAAAGAAAAAGGAAACTGGTTTTTAAAATACTGAGAGTCCCAAAGGGACAGGACTTTCATGTAACATTCTACCACAAGCAAATAAAATGTGATTTTAAAGGAAGCTATAGGTAAACAGTTAAAGTTTAAGGTTGCCATCAGCTACTTAGGTGAACACTAACTTGACAAATGAAATTACTGTAGATCCTACAGAGACGTGTTAATTATTTCACAGGCTTTTAGAATATAATAATGTTTGAATTCACCATTAAATCCTCCAAATATTAAAGACCACTACTGTCTAAAATGGTGCCAGTTATTAAATAGTGTGTTAGACACAGAAGGACATTTCAAAGGAAAAGACAAAGTCTCCCTCCCTTCTCCCTATATACATAATCTTGTAATTTTCTTTGAACCTGGTTGATGAAGAAAACAGAATCTGCTGGCCTGGCAAGAACCAAGGATTCTCCTCCACAAGACGAGCATACTATCTAATAAAAGAGTAATATGCAAATTGACTATAACTCTGCTACACCCACAAGCCATGCCCACCAGCCAATCATGAGAGAGTATGCAAATTAACACAATCAAGATGGCTGTGGCCATGGAGAGAGCAGGAGGCTTGGGTTTCCTGGCAATGGAAGAAGCCTAGCTTTCGCATACCTTGGTGGGCCCAGGCCAACACTCAAGGCTACAAAGCTTTAATTATAGAAGGTAAATAAATCCCAATAAAAATGGCTGCAGCCGCAGAGGGAACAGGATATTTGGCTCTGCTCAAGGTTACAAAGTTTCAATTATCAAAGATAAATAAATCCCAGATACCAGGGCCTCCACTTGGATCGCCGGGGGGCATGGCCAGTCTGCAAACCACCACAGGCTCCTCGCCAGGCCACTCTAAGTGAACCCTCATCTTGATCCAGGACACCCTTCAGGAAAAACCAGTTGGCCCCCACCCGTGCACCAGGTCTCTATCCTACCTAATCCTAATAAAATAATATGCAACCGTCACTCCAACACACAAGATGGCCAGCAAGAGAGGGCAGTTTGGGGCAAGCAGGGGAGCAGTTAGGCACAAATCAGACTTTCAGGAGAGTGGTTAGGGGGTAATCAGGAAGGCAGGTGAGCAGTTGGGAGCCAGCAGTCCAGGATTGTGAGAGCGAGGTCCGACTGCCCGTTTAGGCCAAATCCAGGTAGGATCATGCCTAAACAGGCAGTCGGACATTCCTTGAGAGGTCCCAGGTTGAAGAAGGTGTAGGCTGGGCTGGGGGACACCCTCCCCCCCCCCCCCCCCGTGCACGAATTTTGTGCACTGAGCCTCTAGTCTACACTAATTAAAGATAAATATGCATATTGACCATACCTCCTTGACACCCACCAGCCAATCAGAAGTACCGTATTTTCTGGCGTATAAGACGACCTTTGAAACGAAAAAAAGTCAACCGAAAATCGGGGGCAAAAGACCAAAACTGCACAAAAATTACCTGCAGATCTTGACAGCAAAGTAAGTCTTTTCTTTGAAGTGGGGGGTAGTCTTATACAGCAAATATAAGAATAAACCTATGTTTTAACTGTAAAATTAGGGGGTTGTCTTATATGCTGGAAAATACGGTATGCAAATTAACCCAAGAAAAATGGCAGGTTAGTTTGTATACGCAGATACAGAGCAAAGACTGAAGGCTCCGGCTTGAGTAAAGACTGAAGAGGCTTGGCTTCTCTGTTGCGGCCAGAGCGAAGGCCTGGGGCCTGGGGCCTGGGGCCTGGGTCCTGGAGGAAAACTGGTGCTGGCAGCCAGAGGAAGGAAGGCTTATTGTGTGAATCTCCATGCAATGGGTCTCTAGTGTGTGTGTGTGTGTGTATATATGTATATGTATATGTATATATATGTATATATGTGTATGTATATATATGTGTATATATATATGTATATATAGATATATGTATATGTATATATATATATATATATATATGCCTAATCAACTGAACAGCTGGTCAACCAGTCACTATGACACACACTGACCACCAGGAGGCAGACCTTCAATGCAGGAGCTGTCCCCTGGTGGTCAGTGAACCCCCACAGCCAACCTCCCTAGGTCCCCGATAGGGACTGGGCAAGATAGCTCCAATCATTAGCCAGGCCGAGGGACCCCACCCGTACACTGGGCCTCTGGTATATAAATAAATACACTAGACAACTAAGAGTCATGTACCTTACACTAGAGGGGGTGGTCTTCACAAGACTGCAAGCCATTTCTCTTCTCAAAATAACTTATACTCAACAAGAGACAAATTCAATTCACTAGATTGACTATACCTAGTTCTGATTTTTAAGGAAAGATCCTTAGGACAACCTAAGACTTGCCTAAAAATAAACTGTGTTTACTTCTTCCTAATAAGGTAAGTCAAAGTGCTCTTTAAGCATTAGTTCTGGGTAGGTGGTTAACTGTATCCAGTTCAACTCTTTGTGAGGCATAGGCCACAGAGCTGACTAATGGCCCTGCTCCAGAACTGCTCTCTAAGGCCAAAAGTCTGCCAGCTGCTTCAGTCCTGTCCATGCTGTGGATCTTTCCTAGCTGCTTTACTTGAACATAAAGTACGTCAAGCCAATAATTCTACCCAGTAATTCTATCCTCTATTAAAGCAAAAGTAGGAACGAGAGATGTATCCATTGTTGAAGCAGTTATAATTTAGGCTCCATAAAAATATCGCCAAATCACTGTCCTGCAGTTACTGGAAAAGGCAGTTGAAAAAATTATTGCTAAAAACAAAAAAATTCTAATGCTTTATTTGTATCCAACCAAAATATCGGAATGTGCATATGATGCTAATAATGATTTCTTTATCCCAGGTATGTCTTTAAGCACATGTAAGAATCTGAGCTAGAGGATCAGTGGGTATTATATAAGTTAAAATTAGTCTTATTTGGTTAGTAGTATGAAATTGGGCAAATCTGTGTCGAATTTATAAAATGATGAGTGGTGACTGTTTTATAAGACCTGGACATGAACCACTAAAGTCAGTCCTTGCCAATCCCTTTGATAAGACAAAGGGATGTCTTAGTTTGGAGTCCCTGTCCTGTACCACTTGGTAAATTCCCATTCTAACTAATAAATACAATAGGAAGTAGACATCAGGAGAAAACCCTTCAAGCCAGCTGGAATTTCTTAACATTGTTTTGTTTGCCTCGTATTTATTTTTGTGGTTAAAACCTATTTTTGGCAAGTGATTCTAGTTTCTATTTGTGGCAGGTGTGGTAGTCAGCCTCTAACATGACCCCCAATGGTCTTTGTGCAGTCCCTTCCCATACTCTGCCAGGATTGGTCTGTGTAACCAATAAAAACATGGCAAAAGTGACAGCATTAAGCTGTGAAGACATTGGTTCCATGTTGGTCACTCTCTCTTCTGGATCGTTTGATTTGGGGGATGCCAGCTGACAGCAGGCTGGAGGAGCCCACACAGTGGGGAACTGAAGCTTCTGCCAAAAGCAATGCTAATGTGTGGCAGGAGCCTTCAGAGGACAGCAGCCCCATCGACAGTGTGATGTAGCCTCACAACTGGCCCAGAACCACCTGGCTGAGAGCTGCTCCCAAATCCCTGACTCTCAGAAAGGGCAGGACACACTAACTGCTTCTATTCATTGTGGAGGTAATTTGTTGTACAATAGACAATACAGGAGGAATAGTAAAGTTGTGCGCTCTTTTTTTTTTTTTTTTTTTTTTTTTTAGTAATCTAAGAACAATGTTAATAAGTAGGACCGTGATGCACAGACATGAACAAAACCATGAAAGTGCTATGGGACACAGGTACCAGCAAAGGGTATGTCCTAGGTTTTCCCCAGTTTGTATACTCTATCTGAAGTAGCCAAGTGTTCAATGTGAACTGTCAGCTTCAACCTCTCTCTGTAACCTGCTCTCAAAAACAGTGTGGTACAGTGGAACGTGTACTACTAAAGTGCCAGAAAACCCTGATCTGAATTGCAGCCCTACTTTCTAGCTGTGTGATCTCAGTAATATTAACTTTTCTGAGCAGATGCTTCCTCAGCTGTAAATCTGGAAAATTGGCACCTACCTGGCTGGGTTCTGCAAGCTTCTTCCAATAGTGCCTAGCACACTGAAGGGCTCAAGAAATGATAGCTATGAAACAATGCCCTTGCAATAACTTTCAGATCTAGGTATATTATGAACATATAGGTGTCAGGTTTTTATCATATACCTCTCAGGGAGTCAGTGCAACACTGAGGTTAAGAGCCAGCTGTGTTACAATCCTTAGCTCTGCAAGCTAAGCTCTTTGAGCCTTAGTTTTCTAGTCCAACAACTACGAATCATAACAGTATCTAAAAGCTCTCAGCTGTCAATTAAATGGTATGACATATATAAAACAGGTCTTCAGGTTAAATTAAGGGTAGCTGATGCCTATCTTCATCATGACCTACCAACAAAGATGAGATGTACTATTGTGCACAGGGAACAAAAAAAAAAAAAAAAAAAAAAAAAAAAGGGACTTAGGAGGGAAAAGAAGATCACTGAAGTAGTATACATAAAAAGAAATAAAGCTACCCATGTATGCAGATAGTGACTTCCAGAATATCAAAATATCTATCCTCGATCTGGTTTTTATGTAGAATAAAACTTTGACAAATTCTACAAATTTCCTAAAAACAGTTAAATGTTTGGCAGTTACTATAGTATGCAGATTTAGGGTAATACTCATCATTTGTGGCAGGTGTTATAAATGAAGAACTAAGTATAATGCTCGTACAAGCTATATCTTCGGAGTTTTTAAAAAGTGCTCCAAAATATGTATCTACCTTAAAACATTTTTATTCGTGTCTAGAGAGGTTGTCTAAGGATTGCATAATTGTAGAGCTTAAAGGGGCCTTGGAGAACATTAAAATCCAAGGAAAGGATTTACTTAACCATCCACATTTAAGCTTTTTCCTGTCAATCATGCAATCTAGACATCACACTTAACTGAAATATTTAAATGATAAATATTTGAAACAGTAGAGCTGATATTAAATTTTACCTAAAAACAAGTATAAGAATTTAATTCTAAAGCAGGGATTAAGACCAAAGAGCAAATAGCTTGGAGTAATGTTTTATTTGAGAAGTATATTTAGCTTTCTTTTTTTTTTAAATTGCATCTGAATGCTTTTACCTAGGGTATGCCCTTATTTTCTAATGGCAATAACTGCCCACCTTCCCCAAGTTATATTTTTCCAGAGTGACATACTTGGTCCCTGCAGGCATTTGAATCTGCAGCCCTGTTTTAAAGAATAGTTAAAATGGAGAATGAAAACGATTTTTTTAAATACCATGTTTTTTTCCATGTTTCATTCTAAATTTTACTTTCAGAAATCAACCGGTCGATATTATTTATGCACAGCAATACTGTATTATGGTTATCACTGCATTTATGTTATGGATAATTCACCAGGTAATAAAGTGATGAGTGAAGTAAATTGAGGACAAGAAGCTGCTTCCTTCTCTTGGGTTTGCGGTAAATAAGATCTACTTTGTTAGAGGCACTGCTCTAAGCAGGGGTGGGCTTTAGTCACAACTTTACTCAACAGTTGGGAATTACTGAACAGGTGAAAACCTGCACCCGTGTGCTCTAAGTGGGATAACAAGCAATTTTATAGTTGGCTAATGAATTAAAAAGTAGTCCAAAGAAAAGAAACTGACTCATCTATTTCCTAAGGATGCAAACACAACTCTAGCCAAATCCTTCTCATACTGTGAATGAATAAAATAGTATTTCTTTAAAAATTAATAGAACCACAACAAAGCAATAAGAAAGCCCACTGCATGGGAGAACATATTTACCAATGTTATTTCCAATAAGGGTTCAATCTCCAAAATTTACAGGAAACTTATACAACTTAACAAAAGGAAGATAACAAATCCAATAAAAAAATGGGCAAAGGACCTAAATAAGACACTTTGTAAAAGAGGACATACAGAAGGCCAAGAGACATATGAAAACATGCTCAAAGTCACTAATCATCTGAGAGATGCAAATCAAAACAACAATGCGGTACCATCTCACACCTGTCAGAATGGCTATCATCAACAAATCAACAAATGACAAGTGATGGTGAGGATGTGGAGAAAAAGGAACCCTCGTGCACTGCTGGTGGGAATGCAGACTGGTGTAGCTACTGAGAACAGTATGGCATTTCATCAAAAAACTAAAAATAGAACTCCAATTTGATCCAGTGATCCCACTTCTAGGAGTATATCCCAAGAAATCAGAAGTACCAATCAGAAATGATATATGCACCCCTATGTTTATAGCAGCACACTTTACAATAGCTGAAATTTGGAAACAGCCTAAGTGTCCATTAGCAGGTGAGTAGATTAAAAAATGGTGATACATCTACACAATGGAATGCTATGCTGCTGTAAAAAAGAAGGAACTCTTACCATTTGCAACAGCATGGATGGACCTGGAGAACATTGTGTTAAGCGGAATAAGTCAGTCGGAGAAAGATAAATATCACATGATCTCACTTTGTTAGAAATCATTTTCTAATATTAACAGTGAATCCTCCTGTGAAATATGCAATTAAGTCATCTGTATGGCTGAGCAGATTACCTAAAGATTACTCTGGTTGTATTAATTTTATTTAAATTCTTTATTGAATTTTTTAGGGCTGCAATTCAGATTATAATGAACAACATAAACTGATGAACAAAAATAGAGCCAGAGATAGAGAAACATTGAACAGACTGTCAAACCTCAGAAGGGAGGCAGAAGAGGTGGTGGGGGTGGGGGTGGGGTGGGGTGATGGGTAAGAGATCAACCAAAGCACTTTATGCATGTATCTGAGCATAACCAATGGACACAGGCAGTAGGGGCATGAGGGCATGTGCTGGGGTGTGAGCGGCTGGGGAGAGATCAGTGAGGAAAAGTGGGAAGGAGATGTATGTAATACTTTAAACCCATGGTCGGCAAACTGCAGCTCGAGAGCCACATGTGTCTCTTTGGCCCCTTGAGTGTGGCTCTTCCACAAAATACCACAGCCTAGGAGAGTCTATTTTGAAGAAGTGGTGTTAGAAGAATAAGTTTAAAAAAATCAGACTCTCAAAAGAGATTCCAATCCTTGTACTGTTGGCTCTGTTGACTAATGAGTTTGCTGACCACTGCTTTAAACAATAAAGAATTTAAATAAAATTAATACAACCAGAGTAATCTTTAGGTAATCTGCTCAGCCATACAGATGACTTAATTGCATATTTCACAGGAGGATTCACTGTTAATATTAGAAAATGATTTCTAACAATAATTTGCTATAGAAGGAATTTCCCCTCCTTTAAAGAACTGATGCTATTGTCCTTGTCAGCAAACTGAGTCTATTACAAAGTAAAGTTTATGTTAATGTCATGTTTGTACTGTGAAATCAAGGTCTTTTTTGACCTCCTCGGCACTTCACCATTTGTTCCTGTGTACTGTAATCTCTGTGCCTTGTTTGCTCACCTTTCATTGCTAGTAGACTGTGACATATCAGACAGCAGGGGTCAGGTCTTATGTTGTATTTTATATCACTCAGCACAGTGCCCAGGCCCAAAAGCAAAATACCTTTCCCTCCAACCTCCCCCTCCCCCATTTCTCACTGTCACTTATTTTTGCCAGACTGAAATAGTTGGTGACTTTAAAAACAGTTAATTGATCAAAATTATAGCCCATGATCTAATACAATGAGTATTGTTGCTGTCCAAATCCAACCCCATCGTTTCATATAACATTTCTTTTTTAAAATATATTTTTACTGGTTTTAGAGAGAAGGAGGGGGGAGAGAAACATCACTGATTGGCTGCCTCCTGCATGCCCCCAACTGGGGATCTAACCCACAACCTGGACATGTGCCCTTGATCGGAATTGAACCTGGGACCCTGCAGTCCTGATGCTCTGTCCCCTAAGCCAAATTTTACCTAGGGCTGATAACACTTTCTTAAAGTTACTTTATGTTCTCTGGCCAAGCATCCTCCCTTCAGTTTATACTTTTCTATTCCAGTTCTGTTTTATGTTGCTTTTTAAAATGTCTCTTTCCCCCTAGAAACCTAGCAGCCATTACCTCTCCCCTCTTTATAAAGCCTTAAAGAATTTTGCCTATTACAGAAATTTCAAAATCCACTCTGAGAAGTAAGAACCAAGTAGAGGAAAAATAAAAACTCTTCAAAACACACACTACCTTCCACTGCTCTTTTGAAGAAGACTTTGCAGCTCCCACAGGTCAAGACCCCATAGTGACATCCTGAAGCTTCGTCAGAGCACACAAGGCAGAGTTTGGGAGGTGGCCCTGATGCTGCTGAGCTGGATGCAGGAGGAGAGCTGACATCTGGTCTCATGCCCGGGCTAAAGAAAGAACAAAGCAGCATTAGGATTTAGTTGTCATGACTGTAAAAAAGATCCACACATCAAAACACAGTTCTCTCAGCTTCTCCCTCCCCAGCAAGCATGTTCATTCTGAACTGTGGCTTCACATACTAGCAAACACTATCTTACCAACTGAAACATATTCAAATAATTATTTTGTTCTTTAATACAAAATTAAGAATGAGGTCATTATTTAAAAGTATTCCTTAAGTAGTTGTGATTCACTAAGAAATTATAATGTTTAGTTGCTTAGGATTTGTTCATATTTATAATTGTCTTTTTTAAGTTCTCATTTACGTGCAATAATTCTCACCGTTTATAAGAATACAGTTGATGAGTTTTGTTAAATAGACAATTGTAAAGCTAACACTGTGATCGAGAGAGAGTGTATGTCTATCACTTCCCCAAAGATTCCTCTTACCTTTTTAATTGCTAGGACATAATTTTTTTTTCTAAGTTTATTATCTTGGACAGGCATCTGTTCATTCAACCATGTCACATAATTCTCATAGCCTCCACTTGAGTCAAATTTTTTTTTTAATAAAACTTCTTACAGTTTCTTAGGACTTAGAAAAGATTGATACAGAAACATTCCTTTCTATAACTTTCTTGTCTGGATTGCAGTGAACGACTGGAAGAAGCACTAGGCTTTCACACTAAGGACCATTCTGCCCTCGCCCCTCAATGAAGAAATGCCCTGGAGAAGGTGGAAAATGGGAATCTGCTTTTTGTACTGGGCCTCAATTTTCATTTTGCAGATTTTTCACCACAGTGGGCATAGGTTTAGTTTTTAAAGGTAAACATTATTTTCCTATTAAAGAATTGTACAATGGATATATACTTTTCACCTGTACTCACCATTCTTAACACTCTGCCACATACTATCTAATAAAAGAGGGAATATGCTAATTGGCCCTCAAACCATCACAAAGGTGGTAGCACCCACAGCCAATAAGGAGGGAATATGCTAATTGACTGCCATGCCCTCAAAAGATGGCGACACCCAGTCCCCTCAACCCCGCCGGGGTGGCAGACATGCAGCAAGGCCAGGCACCTGCTTCCGGAGTCCCCAGTTTCCTCAACCCCCAGCTACCCAGGGCCGCCTGAGGCTCAGGTAACCAGGACCAGCCGAAGCTTGTGCTGCCGGCAGTGGCAGCAGCAGAGGTGTGTTGGGGACATCATTTTCCCCTGATTGCTGGGTTGCCTCCCACCTCTGAGGGCTCCCAGACTGAGAGGGGGCAGGCTGGGCTGAGGGACCCCCCTCTCCAGCAATCCTTTTAATGCTGAAGAAAAAATTATGAAATACTTCATAATAGATCACACAATGCTTTCCAATGTTTCATCTTCCTAATTTTCATCATATATGCTAACTTTAGAACCAAAGTTATTGTATTATATTGCATGGTATAACTCAAAAGAGTTTCTAAGCATGTAACTTTCTGTAACTAAAAAGTGTTTCTGGAAACTTCCCATTGCTTTTCTAGTTATGTGGTTTTCAAAACTGTGAATGGCAGCAATCTGTTGATTTTGGAACAATAGATATTAAAGTGGATTATCAACTATATAAAAAAATTCATTAGTATACCATTACTCCTTTCTAAAATTTTATTTGCTTATCCTGTTAGCTGTCCCACTGCCATCTTTTATAACTATAGCCAATAATAGTACAGTATGTCCTCAAACAATATTGTTCCATTCAATATTGTTTTGTTACATTATTTTGCTTAATGCCACAGAAATTACGGATGACATTGAGGACTCAGTATATTAAATCTCAATTACAAATATGCTCAAACTCAGAGCAAACTAAATTGTTTTGCTTATCAACAAAGTTAGAAATTATATTTATGAAATAACATCTTTGTTCTGTTTTAGGAATAAAAATTAAAAGGTAATTATAGAATGACAATTGTTTTATAAACATCACCTTATGTCACTGGGCCTCTAAACCTCCCCCGAAAATCTGTCCTCACACGAAGCTCATTGCACCTTGCTAACCCTTGTTTGTCTAAGAGGCTTGGTCAACAAGACAGCATTCCCATCACCCCAATTTTGGGAATACGCCCCGGTGTTTCACATGTTCTCTCACTACTGTTAATAATTTCTGGATGCTTTCCTATCACAAGGCATTGATTCTCTGCTAGCGCTGGGAATGGACTGAGGGCATATTGAAAGCCTACAATGAAAGAAAATAACCTAAAAGGACTCAGCTGTAGGTCTGGCAGGAGCCACCCTTGATTAATAGAAACTCGTGACTAATGCAAAGAAGCTGCTCTGAGCCGAGTTTCCCAGAGAAGTTGGAAGGCTTGAGAGTGAGTGACTGGAGCAGTGTGTCAGGGAAGCAAAAATGTCCTTGGCTTCTGCTCTGAAGATGCCCCTCTTCCTGCCCAGCTAGTCTCTGTCATCTGACATCTATTTTTAGGGACCAACAAGTTGTTTGTGTATTTAGTTTATAGAAAATAAGTGTGATATTTAAATATTTGAAATGTTAATTCTGATATGTAATAATTACATATATGTATTTAAATTTTTTTTTACTTAAAATTTTTAAAGTATTTGTAGTACTTTATAGTTTTAAAACACTTTCTGAATAGAATCTCACCTTTCCTCTCAACAACCTGGTGAAAAAGATGCCATAGCCTTTGATGAAGTCATGTCAAATCAGGAGGTTGATGAGGGAGCCTTCTGGGATTACACTGCCATGTCTCAATTCCAGCTCTCCCACTTAAAAAGGTTGAGCCTCAGTTTCCTCATGTGTAAACTGGGAAGGACTGTGTGTGTGTGTGTGTGTTAGGAAAACAATATGTAGAATGTCAAGCACACAGTTCCAACATCTAGCTAGCACTTGATAAATGTTCATTCTTTTATCTTCAGCAAAGATATAAGTACTAGAGGCCCGGTGCATGAAATTTAGGCACTGGCGGAGAGGGGGACAGGGTCCATCAGCCCAGCCTGCCTCCTTTCAAACCTGAGATGTCCCTCTCACTATCTGGGACTACTGGCTCCCAACTGCTACCTGCTTGCCTGACTGATTGTGCCTAACTGCTCCGCTGCTGGCCCAATTGCCCCAACTGCCCTCCCCTGCAGGCCTGGTTGCCCCCAACTGCCCCCCCTCCCTGCCAGTCATCATGAGGTGGCCATCTTGTGTGAGGGTGTGATGGTCAATTTGCATATTACCTCTTAATTATATAGGATTATATAAGTGGAAAGTAGTTTTAAGTCTAAAACCCAGCACAGCATTCCCAAATTGTCACTTATACATTAGAGCACCTGCAAGTGTTCAGGCCACTGCACTGTGAGCTACAGATGACACAAGGAAAAGTTAAAACTAAAAGAAAAATGGATTAGTACCCTGTTTCCCTGAAAATAAGACAGTGTCTTATATTAATTTTTTCTCCCAAAGTTGCGCTAGGTCTTATTTTCAGGGGATGTCTTATCTTTCCATGCGCTAGGTCTTATTTTCAGAGGATGTCTTATTTTCGGGGAAACACGGTAGAACTGCAGCTAAAAATCTGGAATTTAACTCAGGCTCTTGGCATCCCTTCAGGCGGTCATTCTGGGCAACATTAGATAAGAACTGACTATGCGGAAAACTGCCAAGTATACCACAGACATCGGTTTTTGTCACACAAATATGAGGACCATGATGGCCTATAAAGAACACCATTGGGAAAATGGATGACTTTGCAATGGTATTCAATTGCAAATGTGACCCTGTGATATTGCTAAAAGGGCTAGGATACAACAAAATGGTGAGAACTCAAAGGAAAACCATATGGAATCGCCATTTTTAAAATGATACATGGCAGAAAGAGATAAAAAGCACCTCAGGATATGAGTTCATATTTCACTGTCTTTACATGAAGAGCTACAATATCCAATGTGTGTTTACAGTGATGCCAAAAAACATTCTGGAGATGCTGAGATTCTGTTAGAAACTGACTACGTCCAGGGTCCTTTCTTCTAAGTGAAGAATCATGTGAGCAAAATGCTTTATTTCAGTTGAACACTTCAAGGCAGTTTCCATTCAGAATGGACACCAATGTCATTCTTAAGGCTAATAAAGTTATGAGAAGAAAAAACATGTACAAAACTGGGTTTTCGTATTTAACTCTTTTGCAAGAAAAGCAACCGATGGAAGGAGGATCACTGATGGACAGTCATGGATAGATTATAAAAATTAATCATACACCTTGAGAAGCATGTAAAATGTTCAGGCAAATTACACCCTTTCTTAAGCACATACTTCCTGGCACCTGAGTGGCCATATCTTATAAGGAAGCCATGTCATGCATGAAATGCAATCCCGAAATGAAACAGATCTAGGTAGGAGTAGCAGAATATGTTTTAGCTGCCTCTTGTGTCATACACTGCTAGGAAGATAATCAGCTACATGTACAGACAAATCTGGTTTCAAATCCTAGCTCCTGTGCAACAGTGGCTAGCTGATCAACTCCTGAGTCTGTTTCCTTATTACTATCATTGTAGGAATTTTTGTGTGGATGATATATCCACACCCATGTAGAATATTGAGCATACACTTGATGATCAATCAAACAATCCTCTCTCCTCAATACCCCTCTTCCCCATTAACTTCTTTTTTCTCTTTCACCCTTCCCCTCCTTCACTTCTTGAAGCACCCTAGGTTAACGGTCCCTTTAAAAGTTTAAGTTCAGGTAATTGTAGATATATAGTTTTTATATTACACCAAAATTCAACAATGTCGTTTTGTAAAGGTGTTTCAATCTGGAATCTGAAACCATATTAGCAAACTTCTTGTCTGTTACATTAAAATCCACCGGTCTGTTTTGCACTTTGAAAGGATCTTTTAACCCATGCATGATTATATCCTGTTACGCATTAGTCATTTTGAAAACTTTGGTTCCCTGAGTTATGCAGACCTTCCAAGTGTTGACATAGTTCATTACAACACAGTATAAAGGAGTCACATTTGTTAAGCTCACAGTGGCAGTTGTGTC